TCAACTGGCTGGATTGGTGGAGGCCGCCACGGCTGCTGCCGGTCAGGAAGTCTCCGACTGGGCTGCTGCTGCCGCTGTCGCTGCTGCGGCGGGGGCTGCGGGACTCCAGCATCACCTCGAATATGGTCCGGATACCCACATCGATGAGGATAGCTTTGCAGATGCAAGTTTCGGTGCTGGTATGGGACCGCAGCGGCACATGCGCGGACCGGGGTCTACCTCTATGAGTGAACATGGCCAGTCTTCCGGTGGGTTGACCAGGGTGCCAACGAAGAAACGGAAGAGGAATGAGGATGCGCTGGATCCGGCGTTGACTGCAGGAGCTGCTGTCGGTCTTGCAGGCACTCACCACCCTCACCACCAACAGCAGCAGCAGCATCACCAGCATGCGCATCACTATGGCGGAGAGGGTCTCGGCGTCGCGCCGTCGCAGTCTCTGTCCGAAGCTCGTGCTGTGGGTTTGCATTCCGCCGCAGCCTTGTTCCGCCAACCGTCGAGTAACAAGAAGTACACCCGTCCGCCTATGTCGAAGTTGTTTGCGTCGCTGGAGCTCTCGCCGGAGAACTTCTTGCATCTGCAGGCGGCGGCCAAGGCATATATGCTGGATGATCGCCACCCGGAGCGGCGCGACTGTGTTGGTCAACGGGGAAAGGGAGACACTGAGATGGTCAAGTTGCGGTTGTGGAACTGCGTACGCCACTTCCTTGAAGTCGAAGGCCATGGTGAGCGCTTCTTCGGGGAGAATGTTGTCAACGAGGGCATGGGGCCCAGGACATATATCTGGCCCCGAGACCAGCAGAAAATCATCTCCTTGGTTATTCCTTTGCTGCGCCGAATGGTCACCAATGAACGCCAGAGGCAGTATGCAGTGGAGACTAGAAAAGGAGGTGGCACCGAAGAGCGACGGAGGCGCAAGACAGAGGACAGTCTGCAGAATCTGAACGCGACCACACCGACAGATGATCAACTCCACATGCATTCACACCACCATATTCCGGACGACTATACTTCTGCACAGACCGGGTTATCCGCACCACAAACGCAGCTCGGGACCGGGTCTCAGGTGGATCTGGGTCTCACGGATCTCTTGCTGGATGGGTACTCGACTGACTGGGATTCGTTCTCGAAGTCATATGACATGTACAATCATAATTACGAGCTAGACAACCTGTGGTACATTTCGGGTCTCCAGCAACCGGATTGGCGTGGACTGGTCGCTGCCATTGATAGCCACTTCCAGGTCATTCACAACGGCGGTTATGACTGTCCGTCGCCATGTGAAGATGAAAACCTCCATCGCATCCTGAATGCAGATGTCACCTCGGACCTGCGTTGGCGTGTTGGCGGGAACTCAGACCGGCCTGCCAGAAATGAATTGTACGTCCCCAACATAACGTTTAGCAAATTGTGTACATTACTAACAACCCCATAGTGCCAGCAGCATCACCCGTGATATCTCGCGGATCATCCGAGACAGCCTGGCGACCCAGCACAATGTCCATCAATCACCCCACAGCCAGGCACCCGTGCCCCAGCCCCAGCCATTCCCTCCTCCGAATTTCCCACCTCTCCCCAGCGCTGTCTCTGGAAATGTCGGCTCTTCTCCGTCTCCTCCAACCAATGTCTCACTCCGAATCAACATTCTCCAAGACGGAAAACGCGCGCATCCTCGCTTTGACATCCCAGGAAGCCAGTGCACCGATCTTGAAACCCTCAAGCAGCTCATCTCCCGCAAATTTGCCGGCCAACTGCCGGGTCTCTCATCCGAGACTAACATGGACTGGGTCTCTCAACTCAACTGGAAATTCAAGGTCTGGCTGCCAGATGGACTGGCCCCGGTGCAAAACGACAACGAGTGGGCAATGGCCCTCGTCTCAGCCAGCAATGTCGACTGGATGGATGGCGACCTACGAGTTCTGGTTGAATTAGACGGGATGGCGTCGGCTTCTTCTTAATCGAATTGGCGCTCATTGAATCATTTTCTGCGATATAACTTGTGTGTCATGGTTGTCGATTCTAGGTTGCTTTCATCTGCTTTGGTTGAGTTGGGTTTGCGTGGAGTTTTTCGGAGACAAGGTTCTTGTCCTTCTTGCTTTTAAGTTCGTTATCATACCCTGGTGCTGGTGGTTCTTGCATTGATGATATGCATTGCATGTGATGATGAGATATGATACTTTTCAATTCTGATCCTGTTGAGATATGGTTGGTAGAAGGACGGGAATGGATGGATGGATGGATGCTTGTCTGTGTATATGATTTTCTATGTTGGGTTGGGTTAGGTCAGGTACTGAGCTGGTCTGGATGTTAAGCGGATGGGTGGATGAGTTTATTGAAAGGTAACTAATGAAAATATGAATGTGTAAGATATTTATTTATTTACTATCGTCTTTTGCCTGCTTATTACTAGTTCTTTCAAGTAGTTTTAGTTGACTTATGTGTAGTAGTACTGGTAAGTAGCTTACTGCCGAGTATATATTGCTTTCCCTGAATCAGAGTATTCACAACCAACTAATAGTAGTACCCTAAAATGAATATTATGTGCTAAGCACTTACAGGACTTATTCGTTCAAAACGTATTGCCTGGAAGAAACCTCAATCGTCAGTGTTAGTCAATCGCAGCTCAAGAAGTTTATTTTCACCTGATAAATATACTAGTTGCATAGAGGAACACCTTTACTTTGTCTGAAATTCCCTCTTCTTTCCAATGTATACTATCGGATAGTCTTATGATGGTAACTAACAATTTAATAGTGCTAGTCCTACTGAGCGATATGATGTGTTATACTAGTAGTAGTAGTGGCGGTGGTATTTCTTAAGTCGTAGTAATTAGCATACAGTATCACTAAGTAGTCATAGGAGAGTAGTAGTAGTCTGGAATTATAAAGCAGCCAGCGAGATGAAGCGTGCTTCGATTGTTGTTGTATTTAACTAATATAGAATACTATTATCTGATATCAGGGTGAAGATATATAGTAAGTGTCCAATATAGTCTTCTAGGACATAGTATAAATGTGCAAGGATCATGTCATAGTGACTACCTAACTACTTACTAGTCTACGAGGATGACGCTAGGTATATTCACGGATGCGGTAATTTGTCATTGATTAGCGTTGATTCGTTACATGGGCGACTTTAATATGCCTAAAGTCTAATGGTAAGGCTAGCTGCGGCTAATCACACCGGTATTGAATCATCGAGCATGCCAGTGCACTCTGGTGATTCATGCGCTGTGGTGATGCCAGGTGTCAGGAGTCTGTTCCTGTCAAAACCCCAAGTAATTTCGGTGAGATCCGAGGTCCTGGGCTCTTGCAGCTCCTTTGGGTTGGTTCATTTCGTCATGAATATACTGTCAGTCGCACCAGCAAGCTGACGGCTTGACCGGCACAAGGCCCCTAGAGTCAACCTGCAGACGATAGGCGAGGAATGTGGATCCGCGAGCAATCTGAGCCATCGACAAGCGCGCCCTTGCTCCGCTGTAGCACATAATGTTCCCTCAGCTGAACTCGCTCAAGCTCCGGCAGACTCCAACCGAGCCTTCTTGGCCCGGCGCTTCATTTCGCGCTTGGACAGCGGTTTCTCCGCCTCTTCGCCCGTTGGCTCTGACCCCACCGATGCTTTTCTCTTCAAGTTATCGCCCGTGGCCTCCTGGGACTTCTTCTGAAACGGTACGTTCGCTTTCGTCTTAGTCACCCCCCCTGCCACGATATCAATGATTCCTCGCCAACTGGTCCGCTTCAGCTTGGCCAAGGCGGTCACCTTCCGGGCCTCCTCGCAGATCGCCTCTTTGCCACGCTCCTGCGAAAGACCCCATACGCATGCCAGGTTGATCACATCCCATGGTGCCCGAACAGCCAGAGCTCGCTGCGCCTCGCTCGAAATGATGATTCCCCGGCCGCGCGTGGCTCGTATCAACGACATCGCATTCCCGATTAGGTTGCGGCGAGCGTCAAGACCGCTCCCGGTGATTCCTGGTCCATAGCAGATCTCAAACCGAACCCCACGTGATATAGCAGCGGAAACCATCTTGAACTTGAAGTGGAAGGGCAGTCGTATGGAGAAATCCAGCGAGATGATATCACACTCGAGGTTGGTGCATGCATTTAGGAGCGCCTTTTCATTGGTAGGCCTTATTGCGACGAGATCATAAACCTGAGTCAGGCTGGCAAGTCGCTGGTTCTGCGCAGGGTCGGAGAGGGTCAGGTTCAGGCGAGTGAGGAGCGTCAGGCCCTTGGGAACATTCTTTGGCGCTGGTGGGGGAGTAGGATTTGAGGGGAGTTTTCCAGTAATAGATTGGGATAGGGCAACGGTGGTGTAACCAACTGGTCGTCAGGTCAGCGCTTCATGTGGCCGTGGAGGGGGAGGGACTGCTCGATGATCGGGTCTTGTGCCGAGGGGAGAAACATGACGCACGTTCTGCAAGAAAACTTAAGGTATTGGAGATCTCGGGATCATCCGAGGCATAGGGCAGATTGAGATCATAGAACATGATGCTGGCAGTTTGCGACGAGCTTAAAAAGCTCGAATGCGCCCGAGAGTACGTTGGAGACGGGCAGCAGAAGCAAAAGGATAGCGACCGCGTGCAAAAGACTGTCCGAGAACGGTAATCGAGAAATCGGCCGGGAATGCAGGTTATTCCGGGCCGGCAGGTGATCTAGCCTTCAACGAACGGGAGTCCCGTGACTGCAAAGGCGGAGCGAAACGCTCTTACTAGCCTAAGCCCATTCTGATCTCCATCCCCAAAGACAGTCTATACTCGACCCTCACCTCTTCCCTCTTCCCTCCCCTTAATCGCTGGCTTCGGACGATAGCACGGCTGCCTTCTTGACATAGGCCCCCACCATACCTGGCCTCGCAGCTGCTGTTGTCTGTCCCCTCCATCGCAATTCTCCCCTCGCGACGACGCCTCTTCGCTCGCCGCCCTTCCTACCCCGCCGCTTTTTATCATCGATATACGTTTCATTGTGGGCTGACTCCGGATCTGCCTGCCAGCCGCCATCAACATGGCGCGCGTCTATGCCGATGTTAACGAACATATGCCCCGGTCCTACTGGGACTATGACAGTGTGAACATCTCCTGGGGTGTTTTGGAGAATTACGAGGTGGTCCGCAAGATCGGTAAGGCCAATACGACCGGCCGTCATCTACCCGCAAATACACCAAAAACGTCGTCCGGCCGCACGGCGAATGAATTGTGTACGTTTTGTGCTAACCACCATTTGGAACAGGCCGCGGAAAGTACTCCGAAGTGTTCGAGGGCATCAACGTCGTCAACTACCAGAAATGCGTTATCAAGGTACTCAAGCCGGTCAAGAAGAAGAAGATTAAGCGTGAGATCAAGATCCTTCAGAACCTGGCGGGTGGCCCCAATGTGGTCGCCTTGTTGGACGTGGTTCGCGACAGTCAGAGCAAGACGCCAAGCTTGGTGTTCGAATATGTCAACAACACGGATTTCCGGACCCTCTACCCGCGGTTCTCCGACTATGATGTCCGTTTCTATATTTTCGAGCTTCTGAAGGCCCTGGATTTCTGCCACAGCAAGGGTATCATGCACCGCGATGTGAAGCCTCACAATGTCATGATTGATCATGAGAAGCGCAAGGTAGGTCTCCGCTCAAAGGTCCGCCGGCATTATGCTGACATGGATAGCTCCGCCTTATCGATTGGGGTCTTGCCGAATTTTACCACAAGGGCACGGAATACAACGTCCGCGTCGCTTCCCGTTACTTCAAGGGTCCCGAGCTTCTTGTCGATTTTCAAGAATACGACTACTCTCTGGACATGTGGTCCCTGGGAGCTATGTTTGCTTCCATGATCTTCCGCAAGGAGCCCTTCTTCCACGGTAACAGCAACTCCGACCAGTTGGTGAAGATCGCCAAGGTGCTTGGTACCGAGGAGCTGTTCGAGTACCTGGACAAGTACGAGATTGAGCTGGACCCTCAATATGATGAGATCCTTTCCCGCTTTCCCCGGAAGCCTTGGCTCTCGTTTGTAAATGCTGAGAACCAGCGCTTCGTCAGCGATGAAGCGATTGACTTTTTGGACAAACTACTCCGTTATGACCATGCTGTATGAGATATTTTTCTGTTCGTGGAGGGTCCCCCTGCTGACGATTTCCCAGGAACGCCTTACTGCCCAGGAGGCCATGGCTCATCCATACTTCGCCCCCGTGCGGGCGGCCGAGGCCCAGGCTGCCCGGAACAACACCACGACTGCCTAAGAGTTGAACGGTGTGCTGATAGGACTATTTTCATACCCCTGCATCGGGATCCTCGCTGCAGCGAGCCATTTTTTCCAGTGTCGTTCTCCGATGTGATAACGAGATTTGATTCGGATGTTGAGTTAGTCTGTGTCTGGAATGGGATGCTGGATCTAATACTATAAAAACATCACAAAACATTGTGCCGCAAGGGCCGGGGGGAAGTTTGTCGTGGCATGAATGAAAGCGCCACGGGTGCGATGAGTTATGGCATACGGAGACGACGATGATGACAGATGACATACGCCTAATATATCTCGACTCAATCCTCTTGGCATACCCCGTGAGTGGAATCTATGAGACGGTGTTTAGAGTGGGAAGGACTTTCGCTCCCCTGTTTGAACCTGCGTAACCATATAACCTTTTCCCATGCTCTGCGCCTTTCTCGTTTCCGTTTTTCCGCGTGACTAGTTGGTCTGGTGTTGATGGGATTTCGTTTTACATGTGTCTGCGTTGCATTTCAATCTATCGCGTTTGCCATTTTACTGGCGTTTTCTCCCATAATCTGCATGCCAAATTCCAGTTTGATACGTCATTGATATCGGCGTGAGGACTAGTTATCTTTGGTGCTCATCTGATCTTGATTCCGAATTCTCCATGGGTGGGTGTTGATGGACTAGGGCCGGCACTTTGGGAGGCCAGCCTGGTTCGAGGAGTGCTGGAGGCTACATAGAGCAAAAGATGCCTTTCGACAGACTAGATTCCGTATGCACAGGCTCTACCAAAGGCACTTTATCAGGTCACTGGGGGAAATACGTAGTCCATTTTGGTAATCTTGTCAGATATAGTTTACTTTGTAGTATCAATAGTCGAGCGACGGTCTGGCCGTGCCCTCACGTGACCCGAGCATTGACTCAAACCGGCGCAGGGCGTGCAGGATTTCATCCGCGGAGGTGACTAGCAGATGAGTCAAAAAAGAGAAGACGACATTGAGAATCCCCAATCGCTGCCGAACATAAAACCCAGGGTAGTTCCAGTCCAAATTCTGACATCTGTCACTGTGCATAGGGGACTGACGAGCAGTTTACTTTAGTTCCGACTTAAGGCACACTGCGTTCTCCACTGTTTTGGGGGAGAAAGAGACCTCAGGCCCCGCACCCGGATGCTCTGATTCGTTCCGATCTTTTGCTCTGCGCCAGGAAATTTAATTGCCCGCATTCGCACAACGACCCAACCCCTCCCCCTCTTGCTCTCTCTATCGCCGTTTGAGTCACCGGTGGTCAAGATACTTATCCGTCGGTTCGTGGCGCGATCGGCGCCTTGGAGATTCCCTCCTCCCCTTCCTCTATATCGTCCATTTTCCAGAATGGCCCAGCCCTCTGCTCCCCAAAACCCGAGTACGTTCTTTGTCGCCTTCCTACTACTCCTCCTCCTCCCCCCTCTTATCGTTCCATCCCACCCCGCAGGGGCTCAATGTGAAGGACTGATTGACTGACCATGCCGTTTGCTTACTCTAGCTGGTGAGCCCAAGGCTCCCGTCGACGTTCCTCCCCAGGCCGACGACCAGTTGCGGAACCAGGATGCCAATGCTGCCGCTCAGCCCGCCGAGGGCCAGAAGGTGAAGAGCGAGAAGGAACGTATGTAACCATCCTCCGGACTATAGGACCATACTGTCATGCCACCACCCGACATCCCTGATGCAACAACATTCTGACAACTCGCTGGATATCTATAGTGGAGCGTGAACGTCGCAAGGCCGAGAAGGCGAAGAAGTTCGCCGAGAAGCAGGCCAAGGCCGCTGCTGCGAAGACTGCCGCCCCCAAGGCCGAGAAGAAGCCTAAGGTCGAGAAGGAGAAGACCACTGATGCCTACGACCCCAAGGTTATCGAGGCTGGCCGTTACGAATGGTGGGAGGAACGCGGCCTGTTCAAGCCCGAGTTCGGCTCGGACAACAAGGTCAAGCCTGAAGGTTACTTCGTCATCCCTATCCCTCCTCCCAATGTGACCGGTGCACTGCACATGGGTCACGCCCTTACCAACGCCCTCCAAGACACCATGATCCGCTGGCAGCGCATGAAGGGCAAGACTACCCTGTGGCTGCCCGGTATGGACCACGCCGGTATCTCCACCCAGAGTGTCGTCGAGAAGATGCTCTGGAAGTTGGAGAAGAAGACCCGTCACGACCTGGGTCGTGAGGCTTTCCTCGAGCGCGTGTGGGACTGGAAGAAGGAATACCATGCCAACATCAAGAACGCCCTTCGCAGAGTCGGTGGTTCCTTCGACTGGACCCGTGAGGCCTTCACCATGGACCCCAACCTGTCCGCCGCCGTCACGGAGACTTTCGTTCGCCTCCACGAGGAGGGCATCATCTACCGTGCCAACCGCCTGGTCAACTGGTGTGTGGCTCTGAACACCTCTCTGTCCAACCTTGAAGTCGAGAACAAGGAGGTTGAGGGTCGTACTCTCCTCGATGTGCCGGGCTACGACAAGAAGATCGAGTTCGGTGTCTTGACTCACTTCTGCTACGAGGTCGATGTCGATGGTAAGACCGAGCGTATCGAGATCGCCACCACTCGTCCCGAGACCATGATCGGTGACAGTGGTATTGCTGTTCACCCCGACGACAAGCGCTACGCCCACTTGGTTGGCAAGAACGCTCGCCACCCCTTCGTTGACCGCTTGATGCCCATCGTTGCCGACAAGGATGTCGACCCCGAGTTCGGTACTGGTGCCGTCAAGATCACCCCCGCCCACGATTTCAACGATTTCAACCGTGGAAAGGCCCACAACCTCGAGTTCATCTCTGTGCTGAACGACGATGGTACCTTCAACAGCAAGGGTGGTCCCTTCGCTGGCATGAAGCGCTTCGATGCCCGTTACAAGGTCATTGAGATGCTGAAGGAGAAGGGTCTCTACGTCAAGTGGGAGAACAACCCCATGAAGATTCCTCGCTGCGCCAAGTCCAACGATGTCATCGAACCCATCCTCAAGCCCCAGTGGTGGATGAAGATGGAGAGTCTCGCCAAGCCGGCTCTCGAGGCCGTTGAGAAGGGCGAGATTGTCATCAAGCCCGAGTCTGCCGAGAAGAGCTACTACCGCTGGATGACCAACATCAACGATTGGTGTCTGTCCCGTCAGCTGTGGTGGGGTCACCAGGCTCCCGCCTACTTTGTTCAGATCGAGGGTGAGGAGAACGATGACAGCGATGGCGAGCGCTGGGTCACTGGCCGCACCGAGGAGGCTGCTCGGGAGAAGGCTGAAGCCAAGTTCCCTGGCAAGAAGTTCAGCTTGGTCCGGGATCCTGATGTCCTTGATACCTGGTTCTCTTCTGGACTGTGGCCGTTCTCGACCCTGGGCTGGCCCAACAAGACCCACGACCTGGAGAACCTGTACCCCACTTCCGTCTTGGAGACTGGTTGGGATATTCTGTTCTTCTGGGTTGCCAGAATGATCATGCTTGGTATTAAGATGACCGGCCAGGTTCCCTTCCGGGAGGTGTACTGCCACTCCCTGATCCGTGATTCCGAGGGCCGCAAGATGTCTAAGTCTCTGGGTAACGTTGTTGACCCTCTGGATGTCATGGAGGGTATCCAGCTCCAGGAACTCCACGCCAAGCTGCTCACCGGTAACCTCGCCGAGAAGGAAGTTGCTACTGCTACCAAGTACCAGAAGAAGGCTTTCCCCAAGGGTATTCCCGAGTGTGGTGCTGATGCTCTGCGCTTCGCCTTGGTTTCTTACACTACTGGCGGTACGTTTCACCCACTAATCTCAAAGCAAAAGAAACTCTGCTAACATCCATTATGTAGGTGGTGATATTGCGTTCGACGTCCAGGTCATTCACGGTTACCGCCGTTTCTGTAACAAGATCTACCAGGCCACCAAGTTCGTGCTTGGCAAGTTGGGCGACAACTTCAAGCCCAAGGCTACCCCTACCAAGACCGGCAAGGAGTCTCTGTCTGAGCGCTGGATTCTGCACAAATTCAACCAGGCTGCCAAGGAGATGAACGAGACCCTGGAGCAGCGCGAGTTCTCCCAGTCTGCTCAGATCGTCTACCAGTACTGGTACAGCCAGCTCTGTGACGTCTTCATCGAGAACTCCAAGTTCCTCCTGGCAGAGGACGTCCCCGCTGAGGTGCAGGAGTCTGCCAAGCAGACCCTCTACACTGCACTGGAGGGTGCTCTGACCCTCATTCACCCCATGATGCCCTTCGTCACCGAGGAACTCTGGCAACGTCTCCCCCGCCGTGAGGGCGATGCCACGATCTCGATCATGAAGGCCAAGTACCCCGAGTACACTCCTGAGTTCGATGACGTCGAGGCCGAGACTGCCTACGAGCTGATTCTCAACACCTCCAAGGCTGTCCGGTCCATCATGGCCCAGTATGAGATCAAGACCAAGGCCGATGTCGTCATCCAGACCTACGACGCCACCAGCCACAAGACGATCTCCGACGAGCTCACCAGCATCAAGTCGCTTGGTGGCAAGTTCCTGGGCGATCTCAGCGTGCTTGGCCCTGAGAACACCGTTCCTCCGTCGGGCTGCGTTGTGGCTCCTGTCAGCTCCCAGGCGGCCGTCTACCTCCGTGTGTCCAAGGAGGTGGCCCTTGAGCAGGAGCACAAGGCCAAGGCCAGTCTTGAGAAGGCGCGCGAGACTGTTGGTCGCCAGCAGAAGCTGATCAGCAGTGCTGGTTGGGAGAAGGCTAAGCCCGAGGTTCGCGAGGCCGAGCAGAAGAAGCTCCGTGATGCCGAGAGCGAGGCCGCTCGCTTGGAGGAGCAGATCCGCGAGTTTGAGAAGCTGCGGTTGGAGTAGATGCTCCGAGTGGATGGACTTTAAGTAGATATCAGTGATACACATACAATTGGACTTAGACACCAAAATAACAGTTTTCTTTTCTTTTTGTTCATTTCGATGATTTGTATGTCTTGTAGTGGCTGCACGTGACCCGAACACACCTTTTTTTGGTAGTGAATAGTAATGTCACATAACCTTCTTTCAGAGCACACATATACCACTACTATTG